GCTTACCCGGTGGCGGCGTTGCTCTCTTATATCTTGTGCTGACCCACCCCAGTGGTCACCGTGTGACCATACCATCTCTCTTCCTTGCAGCTACGATTGTGTTACATTTACATCGACCTGCGCGTGCTAACATCATTCTGCTTTCACCTAGCAGCTGACAGTTGTGTAATAGCATGCAACGCTTGTGTTGTGAGGACTCTGTACTGACGTCCACTCTTCCGCTTCTTTGTCTGATGCTCTTGAATGCATCGATTTAGTCATTTTCGATATATCGGCATGCGGCGAAGCTGTTTGTCTAAATTCGACAAACTAACTCAGTGGAAGACTGCCATGTTGGTCTGTTTGTAACTCTGATGTTCATATATCCGACGAGGTATACGAATATGGTCTACCCAACCTTTGTTAATGCAGATGCCAGTCCTGTTCGGGCATCGCAACCAAGTACAAACCAGTAAATACATTCTTACAGGACACTAGCACGAGACGAGCTTTTTTATTATCCATCTAAATCTCTGCTACTGGACATCCTAGTCATTTTAATCTAGGTTTCGCGATATATTCGTTTGAAAGGTTTCACTAGCGCATTAGTACTATGTATCATCGGCCAGTGGCCAGTCGGTTCACCGGTCCGACCCTGCGTAGATGCGGGGTCGATCTTGCAGTACCTCTAGCCCTCGCGCGACTTGAGATGGTGTTCACGTGGTGTCGAAGCTTCCGTACGACGTGATGCTGATGCGGAGTACTCTGTGTCGATACTTCACTGCCATCCAACTGTAAACGGTTGAACGCATGCTTGGCTATTGCATAGGTGCCTAAGCCCGAACCCAGCACAAGGATTGCAAACCAAACCACTGAATTACCACAACACAGTACTTTTAAGTTATCAGCAGTGCACCAATACTACACACGCATTCTCCACTCCCACACAATCACCATCAGCTGCAAACGGATTAATATGTTGCTATTTCACCCGGTGGCTCGTGGATTACAAGCCAGATGCCTGAATCATTCCGCCATCGGTCGGATGCTGCGTTTGTTGTTTACAGTCATATCACATGGAAGCAGAGCTGTTGTCTCCATTCTTTCCCTCCCTCATAGAAGGCGACATTTTAGTATCTATTGATCGGTGTGTTTTGCATTCTGTTGTATGTATAGTGTTATCTGACTTTACCCATGTCCACCATAATTATCAGCCTTGAATTAACACATTGTTGGTTGATCTTTTCTATTTCGTATAGTGCGCCCCGTACTCACAACACCATGTCATATTCGCCCAAATGGCTACTGTCCATGCGATCTTTGTGTTGTTCCAGCACTAGTTTCATACGAAATCCTTTTAGTGTTTGACTTGTTCTTCAAACAACTGGTCTTTTTTGTTTCTTCTCTTGTGCAAATGCTTGATTTTTTCATGGATATTCACACGCATATTGATTGGCCTATCTTTTGTCTCCATGCGCACCCTGTAGATCCTGAGATGGTTAAATTGTTTGCGAAACGCGAGTAGTCACATGCTATAAGTTCATAAACCTTTGCCCCTTCCCACTACTACTTAAAAATCAAGGAAGTCACCTTTTACAGTTGATGCATGAGGCGATGCGTTACAATGCCCGTTCGAATTCACATGAACCGATTCTGGATGTTCGCTACTGTCTTACTGGACGGTTTGTTGGCACTGCATCTACTCATAGGGCCAGTCCGATTTTCAGTCGGTAGTGCTTGCGTGATCATCATTATCTTAAAGCTCACCATATGGCTGGTGTGGCGGATCAATAGTTAAAATCGTATTGAAACCATACTGCGAATAGTTCGGTGTATGCTTTCGATAGTATGACTTGCCACTTTTGCGCCCCGGGTTTGAGCCCCCACTCCTATCTGGGTTTCGGTATCCAACCCCCGCGGAACCGCTTGCGAATGTATAGCAAAAGCTGGGTTAATAATGGCACGTTTTATTTTGCATTCTATTCCATCGTTGTTTTTAAGCTGGCCCATTGTTGTGCCCTGTTCATCATCCGATAAACGGATTCTGCCAACTTCTTTTATTATTCCTACTCGCGTAGTTCCCACCCAGATTGAGCAACATATAGATGTCTTACGTAACGCATTTGTCTCTTTCACCTTCTGATATGCAATTTTACGGCATACCTCGATTTTTCTTTCCTACATCTATTTTTTGCTCTATTCGTTTTGTGCGCACTCTGTCAGCATTTAATTGCCTTGACAGCGCCTGATGACCATGATATTTATCCCGCAGGATGACGCATAGTTGTCCTCTTTGTGTTGTTTCTCTATTTCTTGTTAGACTTGCATTAAGTTCAATCTCAAACCGATATCGTTTTTCTTCGCTACAGAGTTTGCGTCTCTATCCTCCGTGGTAGTGACCGCATTCTCGTAGATGGTGTGGTTTTGCAAGTTACATTCATCCCATCGCACGTTTCTGAGTTTTCTGCGTTTTCATCCTCGTTAATTCACCTTGATCACTTCTACTATTTCTGCTTTTTTTAACTGTAAACGCGGGGTAATACGTCTGCGCATGATTTATCACCGGTTGTTATTAATCGCCGTCTCCTTCTGTCAGCTTGATTTAATAACATCACTGGTGATGCATCATTCACCTCTTTCCTGTCAACTGGCTTTCTTTACCTGTCTCCCGCTTGTCTTACACCTTTTTCTAATCTTCTTTTTGCTCTATATGCTGTGGCCTTATCTGCAGTGTATCCGTAGAACTACCAGTGATGCTTATCGTTCCTGTATCATCACCTCGTGTTACCGGAACCCACCGATCTGATATTTACCACTATTGAAGCGAATCGCTATTCCTGTCATCCTTGGTAGCTCTTCTTTCCTATGGATCTCCTGTGGTTTTTGCCGGGGAAACGTTTGGTTGGAGTTATCTAACCATATCATCCATCTCGGGCCTTATTCCTTGTCCACGCTTGTTGTTCATCTGGTATATAATCATGGCAATGTTAACAGGCTGCTTACGCATTCTCAAATCAAGAAGACAGAATATCTCGGGACTGTCAACATGAGATTGAGGACCCGAGCGCAAATGTATCGCCTGGTAGCTAAGACTTGCGACTTCACAATCAGTCTCACTATGTGATGAGAGATTTTTCATATGTATCCGTGTTTTTGGTCTACACATACCAGTTCAAGATTGATCCACTTACCTTGACTCATATCACATTGATTGTAAAATGACATGCTGGAAAGATGATTAATGACCTGTTTGCAATCCCAACGGTCGTTGAATGGAGATGGTAACTGATAATGTAAGGGTTCTCCCATAGATTGATCAGGGAATTCCTAATCCATGCGATGATCCTGATCATATTGCATTGTGTGCCGTTCATTCGATCGAACGACTGATACTGCTTAGCACGTTCACCCTGGCCTTAATACTGCGCATAGCGCTTCAATTACTAGATCGGATTCAGCTACTCAACCAAGATGGTCGATTGACCACTTCAACCGTTTGTTTTTTGATAGCGAGAACTGGTTTAATTCACCTTTACTCGAATCGTCCAGTCTCTCAGAAAGTCAGTTATCTATGAAAGGACATTTCCAGTGACACCGATTCCCCGGGGTTTAAGCAGAAGTTGTTTGCTTGGAATTTTACCGAGTGCCTTGCAGAAGTCATTGTAAACAACATCCATGTGTCTCAGGTCATCCAATACTTAGACCCATTCTTCTCTAACAACAAACAGGTTAGAGATGCTGGGGTGTACTCTGTCATCACCAATCTAGCGCCAAATTATCTAAGATTCTGTCATTGTTGCAGACAGCCTTAATAACATGCACCTTGAGGCAGGCCTTCGAATTGAGAATTACTCCACTCCCAGTCCACCAACCGGAGCAATCAGCTCTTGAGAGTCGATATCCTGATATAGGCATCTCTGTATCCAGAATTTCTGAAAAGAATCAGCTTCTGCTGATGCTCAGCAGTTAGAAGGGGAATCTCGTCGAACTTCTTATTAAGGTTGCTTACAATAGCCCATAGTACTCTTAATCCACTCTTTATTTTCGAGGGCTGGGTAGCAAGAGCATTGCCTTACAGCATGTTTTCCGAGTTTGGTGAACAACGCAAAACCATTTGTTCATCTTGTTTAGTTTTTGTCTTTCTCTTCATTAGTTGTCGCGGCCCTCTGCTGTTTCTGATGGTGCTGACTTACACCTCAACAATTCACCTCTTTGACGAACTCCCTCGGTTACTTCTGACATTATTTTGCGCATCGTCTCAAAAGGTTGCAGACGCAAACTGAATTCCAACTGAAGCTTTTTTCGCTCTTCTATCAAACCGTCAAGCTTATCCGCCATACAAACGGTTTAGCACATGCTATGGATATACAGTGACCGCCCAGCAATTGCGTCCCCTTGTCGCTGCTACAATATTGGAAGACATGCAGATGTATTTCGGGGTTGCTTTCTCCCATACACCTACTCACGACCGACGGTTTCGTCCTGGTTTGGACTCATCAGTAGAGACAACCTAACTTGGGAGTGGAACTCTACGTTTATCCCCGTGGTCACTAGATCATTGAACTCGAGCAGAATTTGACATATTGGTTAGAAGTTGATTGTCGGGTTTTGGGGTATCCGACATGTGTCTTGGATTGCGATACCCAGTGTAACTTATCGTTTCGGTTGTATTTGTACTCAGTTTATGCCTTTCCGATCACTTGGATCTTATCTGAGCAACGCCGAATCCCTCCATTTCAGATACGGTCCCATTGATCGGAAAAGTACCGACTGACTTCAAATTCAGCCGAAGCCACAATTGAGACTGCGTATCGCAATCCACGACACATACCGGTATTTCCAAACCTGACAATCACACGAATGTATCTTCACTTTTCACATTGTCATGGACCTGCAATTCTGTCTCGTGAAAGGTTTTATTCGAGTTATTTCACTATCCAGTTCATTCCCAAAATAGGTTGTTCTTTTCTTTTTGTTTACATGTCCTTCAGTTTTAGTGTTTGCACTTCCATCTGCTCTAGGCCGAAGAGGATGAGAAGAACAAAATCTTGATTGATGCACTCCAGCGAGCCAGAGAGGAAGCTACGATACAAAAACGACAGATGCTCTTTGAACGTCTGCATTCTAAGGGACAGGAGCTGTGTGAACAGACGGATTATGGATCCTCGAATCATCGCTTGATGTCATCTCCAAAATGCGTCGAATCACCTGCACAACGAAGCACTTCGCATTCTCCACAGCTTTCGAAGCAACAGTCGACCCAAACAAGTTCTTCACCTGGAGTGGTGGGTTATGTATTTTGCGTCTCTTTCTTCATCAAATCAAATGCTTTCGTTTACTTACTTCCTGGGAAAGACAACTTATTTAGATGGCTTCCGTGCAGCGGCTCACTTTTCTAGCAGATTTACTGAATAACCTCTTCGTCGTGCCAGATACCTATATATATATATATATATATATATATATATATATATATATATATATATATATATATATATATATATATATATATATATTCAACCCTTTACCAATTACATTGCAATTTTTTGAGCGCCAGCTAGGTGGCTGAGGATTATCCCGTTCTAGCGAATGGCTTGGCGGCATTGTCCCAGGTCACTGCGAGTTCTTGCCTGGCAATCGTTCCTCCCATAAAAGCCACATATGCCCGTTTAATAACACTGCGACGTGTCAGATGTGACTCGTCACTAAATAAAGTACCTAGCCCTTGCTTCGCACTGGTGGAGCATTGTATCTCAGCAGCCTGCTGCTGAAATTATGGGGAGGAATGAACTCATCTTTGGCATCTGACCAAAAGTAAGGCGTATAAACTGATCAATTGGTCCCCAGTTCCCATTGGGCCCAATCCCCTGATCGCTCCGCCGCATTGCTAGTGGGTTATTCCACCAAAGGCTCGAGTAGTGTTCACTAAAACAACTCAGTAATCTGACACGGGCAACCAGACAGTATCTCGCTTTCCGACAAAATCATGGATTTCTCTGCATTGCTCTTGGGTTTCTTTTTGCGACAATTGTTCCTTCTACTGTTTTCCATGGTTTTTACTGGCTTTGTCTATCTGTAGACCGGTTATTTATTTATTTCTACTCGAGCATCACTTGCATTGCTATGGTATCTGGTGTAAGCGTCAAAAACGTTTGAGAATTAAAGCAACGCGTGTCCGGCCGGGAAATCAACAAGGACCAGGGCCGGAACCGAGATACCAGTGATATTTAACAAAGTAATCATAGAGAAACAGGCAATATCTTACGATTTCCAAACTCATATGTACCAAGAGCTTCTTCAATACAAACGCAATCCGGATCAAATCCCCAGGCCGACCAGTGAATCAAAAAGACAAGAAATGTTCTCGCACATGCATGTGGAAACATGTAAAGCTGTACAGGCAGGTCGTGCAGTCTGACCAATGAGAATATATGCTGCTCACCGACGAATGAAGCCCTACTCGGATCAATGTAAGATCGCGTCGCCTGTCAGGTGCACAACACACGAGTGAGTGGGTGAAGTCAAGGTCATTGGAAGTGAAACGTGCACATAGGAACGGGGTAGAACGCAGTAGAAACTGGGGGTAATACTCGCTGACCGGAATGACGCAAAAATCAGGCACAGGGGAAACATGAGTAGTGAAACGCCAAACAAGGCAATGTCGGTCACGGATAGTTCATGCAGGAATAGGGCAAACGTAAATGTTTGAGCAGACGCGAAACTCCGATTACATTCAGTGTTCCAGCCTTAGGAATAAAATGGTGCCTGTTTATTTGTGCGTAGACTGTTGTTTCCTTGAAGTAGGTTGATGCTGTGCACTAACAATGCACATGGTCGCTAGACACTTTCAGTTACAGACTGACAGCAATCCATTGAGTCCACAGTGTGGTGTGAAATTTTTCCCACTAAAGTTGATTGTGGATAGTCTGTTTGGTTTCTACGGAGACCATACAGAATTCTTATTCCTCTTCCATTGTAGTTTCCGCGGTTGCGTTTATGCACTTACATGGTTGTTTGTTTCTCCTATTCGCCCCCTCACATCATTCCACGTGGCGCTTAGCACCGTGTTTTCGCATCTCGCCTGCCTTATCGTCTCAAGAGCCATGAGAACCACACGCTCGTTTCAATCGTTTGCCAACGTTACAAATGACCCACATTCTGCGTCTGGATTTATTTTACCTTAAATAATCATGTGACTTTACTACATCGTGGCTTTCTACACCACCAGTTTGTGAGCCAATGCCGCCTCACTCTGCACTGGAAACCGAGCGGTACATTTACTCCAAGCTCAGTGGCTTCACTTTCTCCATATTTTCTAATAAGGGCGGATCTTTCTACGTAGTTTTGTGGAGTGTATCCTCAACAGGTAATCTGATTGGGTATACCATTACACCACAGAAGACATTAATTGATTAGTCGCCTTTGGTCACCTAGCTAGCTAAGTATTGTTATGTTACATCAGGTGAGAGCTCCGGATGAGCATTGCTGAGGTCTAGTTATTATTTGGTACGAAATCCACTTGCGCCGCATTAGATTCTCCGCTGAAGTTTACCACTTTCGTTGTCTAGACCATTTTATCCACACACACACACACACACACACACACACACACACACACACACACACACACACACACACACACACACACACGTTATCTACCTTCTTCAGCATGCATTGTAAATAAATTGTTTATTCTCGGCAGTTCGAGGCACGCCTGTATAAGCATAATCATGTTGGTGCAATCAGGACAACAATCATAAGCTGATCAAAAAAATATGAGGCTGTTCAGGTGTGATCAGGTGGGAATACACATGTGGCGCATGGAAATAGAAATTGCAACTAAAATCCTCGTACTCATCAAGGAATGGAATGTTTTATTCCGGTAAAAGTGAACACAATGTTGCATGATCAAATGTGTTGAATCCTTTGCAGGCCGGTAAAGAGGGACCAGATCGATATTTGTAAACCGATTGCAGTAGGAGGTAGCATGTTTTGAAGTGATGGCATTGATATAGAACAAATTTACTTAAGAATTGGAAGTTGCGATTGAAATTGTGTGTCATGATTTCTTGTCACGAAAGTGTTTAGTATAGTGCATTGGCAGCATCGAATTCTTTCTTTGCATCCTGCATCCAGTGTTGATAAACGGTGCAACTCGATTTCCTTCGCTTCTTCCGAAATGCTACGACAAGAGAACATGTAATAGTCATTCTTTGCAAGTCACAGTCGCCCCGATTCCCAGAATCACACAATTCGCCGCTCGATAACTAGCACCCCTTGGAGAAAAGAACTAGATTTTTTCACTCCGATTTTCCAGCTACGTTTTCGAGATTCTTCTGGAATATTTGACAAGATTGTACCAAAAGAGCAAGGTTAAATTCTTCTGACCAGTGAATAAGAGAAAGGAGGTACCATGCTGTCGCTGCACCTTGTTGGGCGGAAGTGCGAGGTGGTCACTCAGGGACGTGAAGAATAGCATTTGAAAATTTGCTGAGAAACTTGGTCGTACTTGTATTTTCGGTCTTCGTGCACGGGCCCCCGGGATATACTGTATCAGTTGCTGAAGATTTACACGGCACAGTCGCGGAGTCAGTGATGATCTCTCACTTTTTTCCTAATCCTCCTCCATTTGGCTTCTTTTGCTTTACTATTATTACTTATTTTTATCCTGGCGATATGAGTCTTGATAACATTTGTGCCCTCGGTCGTAGTTTCTCAACTGAGCGGTCACCAGTGGGATCAGATGGAAAGTCGAAGTATCGCATTATCTTCCACAAACCGAACAATTTCACTCGCTTGTCAACTCGGCAACTGATTGCGTACTTCCATTGATGTATTCTCCTCCTTTGCTATATTTTCCCTTTCTCCCGTAACGGTCTTACCGCCGTTATTCCGCCTCAACGATCCTGACCTAGGGTACCTGTTTCTTTCAACTCCTGGTGACCTTATTCTCCACATCATGATTGTGCTTCATGTTTGTTTTTTACTTGCCGAACCCACTAGTCATGCCTAGTGGTCTTCTGGCTTCATCAGGGATACTTGCCCGGGTGCTTGGGTGTTCCAGTATCACGTTGAGCTTCAAGTGGTCACTCGACAAAGTGCACAGAAGTATTGGTGTACTCCCAGCTTGCAAGACTTGACAATAAGTTGGCTCTGTGCTCCTACACGTCTGGTTTTTTATGCTTAGGAGCTTCACGGCCATGCATATCGAGATTGAATCCGAACTCTATTCATCTTTTTAACCGTGCATTACACAACTAACTTATAAATTTATTGAATTCGGCAAACCTTTTTCATATTTCTTCACATTTCTCGTAAAAATCAAATGCTTTTACTGTAAACTGATTATATTTTCAAAGAAAAGCAAATATTGATCAGTAATTCATTAAGATTTTTTTGTAAATTTTGTAAATGATCCTTTGGCAATTTTTAAGCAGTTAACACGCAAAGGCATGGAGTGAATGAATTTGTTCAGTCATGCTCTCACTGCGTGCCCAGGTCGCTATAATCTGTCTAATGAAGTGTTACTTATATGTACTATTTTTTCTTCATTTTCAACTTTTGTATTGCCCATAAGTTCTCTATTTGCGTCATGCCAGGGCTGTTACCAGGCTATGCAGCAGCACTACAATACCACAACCCTCAAGAAAACGGGTTACTTCACGCCCCTTTTGACATGGAGCACCGTCATGCATGAAAATGTAATCTCCTGTCCATTTAACTCTTTTTTCTCTGCCCATTCACATAGCTGAGGAATCAGCCGATGCTTTAATAGTGTTTTGTATTACTGGTGGTTCATGTTACCATCTACGATGTAGAGCCGACCGGTTCCGTTGATACTGAGTGCGATGCTTGACTCTGAATCATACAGTCTTCCTTCATCTGTTCTCCAGCTTATCGTCAGACATACTGAGCTTGCTTGTCCGAGCACCAGATGATACATTCATCGTTGAAAACCACCTAAAATAAAACACAGAGCAGCTTCATGAAATACAAAATCAATATATGCACAGTTCTTCTTGAAATTCCTTATAAAAATCAAGCTTTTGCTTTTTACAATGTCTTCTTTTGACCCTTTTTCAAGCTGTTTAGTCCATTCCTGTCGTCTTCCTTTCATTTGTTTGGTTAACTTTTGTTTCTCCAGAGATCTGCAAGCTCGAAGCCCAGAATCAAATAAGTTATCTTTTCATTTCTCGAACTTACGGCAACACCATGCTGTTCTAACATCCCTTGCAACTTTGCTAGATGTTTTGCGATACTTGGCATTTTCCAGGCAAAAGTGCGT